TCTCTCTCTCTCTCTCGTTCTGTCCTTAGCTTTCTCTTTCTTGTGCTCACGTCTCCTTCTACATTCCCTTCACAATGTCCCCTTTCTTTCTATGTGTATTTTTAGGTATATTCTTATTCTTATTTCTTATATAAATCTTGCCTCTCGAGGACAGCGCTGATGGGTGCTGCTTGAGAGCCATCTTTGTGATGTTTACTGTCTGTCTGACTTTGCTTATTCCCCGCATTAAATAACAATTACCGCGCCCATGCCATTCTCTCTCATTTAAAGAGATAATTGAAATTTCATTTATCTTCTTTTTTTTTAAAACTCGTTGGAGGCCGGGTTGGCGGATACTCGTATGTGGTTTTCTCTCATTCTTTCCTGTCAAACACAAGCTGACGTACGTATCTGTCCCCCTTCTCTTCGATGTTAATTTCTGTCTTGTAATTCTCTAATATTCAACCCTTATATTATGACCTATTTGTGTTGCAAGTGCCGTAAAACTAGAACTATTTTTAAAAAACCCAAAGAAATAAAATTGCAATGCGAGCCACTGGCAGGCCCAGTTCTTTTTTTTTTTGTTGTTATCCTCCTTTTGTTTTTCCCTTTGTCTGGCCTCCTTTTCTCCTCTACTTAACGATCATTATTGTGTCGACGTGCTTCTCTTAACCTTTTCTTCGAATTAAACGATCATTTCGGAAAAATTACAATACCAGTGTCTGTGGTCACGTCTCATTTTGTTGCGGTGAAACCCGTTGGCGCTTAAAAGACCAAAATTGAGTCGATAGTGCCGTAAAACATCTACTCAATCAATATGTGTCTAGTATAGTATAGTATAAGGTTTTACAGCGCTCGCAACTGCTAAGGTCATATGAGCGCAATATGTGTCTGTGGTGTGGTGGAGAGACGCCTTACCTTTGCACACTATAACTTGAATTCAAATCCCATAATATTATAGTTAGAATTTTTATTGGGTACACGTATCTTTGTCTTTCTGCTGGGACGTTATTTCCCTCTCAGCTCGGGTTAGCTGTCTCAGACAGGGCTGAAGCCCGCCTCCTGAATGATTCATTTCGATTGCTTCAATGGGGTGGTGTAAACTACTTTTTTGAAAATAGGAAAAATATCAGCAACAACAACAATAGCAATGACAACTACAGCAACAACAACAACAACAACAACACAACAACAACAGCAATAATA